GCTAAGTGCACCTTGTGGCTCTGCTGAGCGGCTCTGCAGGCTGGGTCCAGCGTTGCCTCGGATCCCAGTTAGTATGTGGGGCTAGGGTGTGACTGCAAGTGTGCTGACCCTGAGGCCCACGCCGTGACCGCTGTTGTCCTGCTGAGAGGGCTCAGAGGTGGAGTTTGTCCCACTTGGCCCCCACACCCCCTCCCCAGATGAAAGGCACATGCATGTGGCCTCAGGAAGGTGTCCTGGCAGGTCTGAGGGGCTGAGGTGGGGGGCCCATCTGTCATCGAGACGGGTGACATACAGGTCTATTGGGTCTTACTCTCTGTGAAATAGGAGGTGAGGTTGCCTGCGGAGAGGGACGGGGAGTCACGGGCCAAGGTGGCTGCTGTGGGGACTGGGCCACACAGGTCAGAGCATGTGGGGGGACCTCCAGGCAGAGCCAGGGTATCTGCCGAGCTGCCACCAAGCAGGTGGGGCGGTAGTAGTGTGTCAGCCTCTCCTGGCATCGTGCATCATGCTGGCGGGTGACAAGACAGGCAGGGGTACCATGCTGCTCCTCGGCACCCTGTCCCCCTGAAGGCCGTGGCTTTTCTCCAGGTTGGATCGTCAGACGCAGGCTACTACTTTGGTCCATCAGATTTTTGGAGGCTATCTTCGATCAAGGGGTAAGTGGAGACTCCTGCCCTGCCCCTTCTCGTCCAGGGTTAGCGTGTTGACCAGCGGGAAGGGCAGAGCTCAGCGGTAGAGCACGTGCTTAGCGTGCATGAGGTTCTGAGTTCAATCCCCAGTCCCTCCAGTAAAAATAAATTTTAAAAAGACTTAGAGTATTAACTGGAAATGCTGACAATTGGCACCCGGGCATACCTGGGGGCCCTGACGGCCTCCAGCCTGGTCTGTGAGCCGCAGCTCTGTCTGGTGCTTTGCTGGTGGGCCCCATTCCTGGAGGGGGAGGGTAGTTCCTCATGGGTGACCATCGCCCTTCAGGTGGGAGTGAGCGCCCCTGGGGCTGCTGGCCCAGCCGGGAAGGTGCCGGCATCTGGGCCGCGGTGGGTTGGCCCTGCCTCTCGTGAGCTCTCTCTGTACGGGGGCTTTGGGGGCTGGTGAGCTGATGGCGTGCCTCCCAGATCCAGGACTTGGGACCCTGGGGTGGTGCGCTGGGAGCCCCTGCACGTGTCCCACCGCCTCCTCACTCCCGCAGTGAAGTGCTCCGTGTGCAAGAGCGTCTCCGACACCTACGACCCGTACTTGGACGTGGCGCTGGAGATCCGGGTACAGACCCTGCCCTGCTGGTCTGTTTGCATGGGGACAGGGAGGCCAGGGGCCAAAGAACCCAAAGGACAACACCCAGTTGGGGCGTGTTGTTCAGACAGATCAGGAGAGAAGCGCTGGGAGTCCTGCTGCCGCGGAGGAGAAGCCGTCCTGTCTGCACCTCTCTTCCCGCATTTGCCCTCTTTTCACAGAGAGGGCGCGGTGCAGTCTCGTGCCCTGGGGCATAAACGCGGGGGGCAGGGCTGAGGAGGCGGCTCTCCTACAGGTGCTGTGCGTTTTGGGGGCACCTTCCGTTCCCTGCTGCGGCCAGGTCCGCCCACCTCGATCTGAGGCTCCGGGCAGCCCCGCGCCGCAGCCCTGATGAACCTCCCTGGGGCTGCGATGCTCTGACTCCCCCGAGGCGGCAGCGAGCAGGCCGGTTCCAGTGCCAGTGAACTTTTGTGATTTGCTGCCTCAGCCTGAAAAAGGCCTTGCATTTGGCGTTTCTGGAATCAGCCTTTGTCTTCTGCTGTTTCAGTCCATGTTTTTGTCCTTCTCAGCAAGCTGCGAATATCGTGCGTGCTCTGGAACTCTTCGTGAAGCCAGATGTCCTGAGTGGAGAGAACGCCTATATGTGTGCAAAGTAAGTTTTGTTTTGCTCACGGCAAAAAGGTCAAGCCATCCGGAAGGACAGAATATGTCACCTAACCTGCCGTCCTCTCTCTCCCTCTCATCCTCAGAGGTGGCCACTGTCCGTGTAGACTTGTCTTAAAACTAAAAACTTCTAAACTGCGTGTGTGAAGCAGTAGCCGTGGTCTCCATTGGTGTCATCATGTGGCACTTACTACGAGCAGGTCCCTGTTCTGGGTGCCTCCCGTGCACGCACTTGTGAGCTGGGGACTGTTACTGCCCCATTTCCCAGGAGGGGAAAACTGAGGCACAGACATGAGGTGACCGGACATGGCCGTCCTGCATCCTGGACAAGCCGCGTTCCGTTCCTCACTCCTTGTCCTGGGCATTTCTCCGTCTCAGCAGACGTGACCCTGACCTGGTTGTTCTGAGGATTGCACAGTCTCAGCGTGGGGTGTGTCCCTTTATGTCAGGCCACTTAAATGCTGTGATCACCAGAGAAAATTTTTCTCCCCGTGCTTTTCAGGTTTAGGTTGATGATTCTGGGCCTGAACACGGCTTTTTCCCCTCCGTTCACCTCCTGCAGCTGCAGGAGCTGCGCCCCTGCCTGTGTCTTCTCCCCTCACTCCACGCCTCTGGCTTTGCTTTTGCTGGTTTCCTGCCTGTTTATCACCGGGCCACGTCTGCTCGAATTTGTCCTCCCCGTGTTATCTCAGAGTTACTGACGTCTTACTGTGTTTCCTCGTTGGGAAATCCTTCGTCTTTGCTCTAGAATATGCACCTTTTCTCTGGTCCCTGGTGCCCGGCCGCAGCTCTCCTCTCCCGAAGGGGTGTCGATGTGTTTGGGGCAGCAGCTTGCACGCGTCCCCTTGAAGCAGACCCCGTGTTAAAGAGTGGTCATTACCGATGTTCTGATGTTAACCTGGAGCGAGGCCAGTGCTCCTCGGGGACGTGAGCTGATCGCTTTCCTGCTCGTCTTCATCGCAGATGCAAGAAGAAGGTTCCAGCCAGCAAGCGTTTCACCATCCACAGGGCGTCCAACGTCCTCACGCTCTCCCTCAAGCGCTTCGCCAACTTCAGTGGAGGGAAGATCACCAAGGTGAGTGCGTCCCGAGGGCCAGACTGCCTGGTCGGCCGCTTTTGAAAAATACAGGTTGCGGGGCTTCCCAGAGCCCATGGATCAAGTCCCTACAAGACAGGGCCCAGGAGTCTGCATTTTTGCAGAATCCCCACCTGATTGCTATGCAGTCAAGTTCAAGAACCACTGTCTTACTAGGTGTTTGTTTTTTTTCCCCCAGCCTGTCTGCACTTGGGTTGTTCCTGATGCGGAAAGTCTAGGCTTCCTTGAGAATAAGTAGGGTGAGCGGTGCACTACACAGCTCTCATCTCCCACGTCCTGTTCTGTCTCCAAAGCACGTTGTGGCTTTTTATAGAATAAACATTTGCTGTTTGTACGACAGCATTTTAAGAGAAGACACCTTGGGTGGCAAGAGTCTAGAGATCTGCTCTCCATGGGAGGAGCCTGGCTGTGTGGTTTGGGCCAGGGCCCTTGTCTGAGCCTCAGTTTCCTCACTGGCAGTGGGGGGGGGCTTGCTTATTTAGTTCAGTGTTGCCCAGACTGGTGTTCTGCAGGGCATTCACGTGGTACCTGAGAGGAGGTGTTCTGCATTCAACCAGGTTTGGGAATGCCAGGCTGAAGTTAGAGAGTTCTTTTTAATTGCAGGCCTTCTCAGAGCCTTTATGAAGCTGTGTTGCATTTTGAATCTTCAGGGGGAATTTATTAGGAAGACTTTCCTGTGCTTAGTTGTTTGGGGAGTCATGTCCTCCTCCCTTTCCTCGTGGCCGTGTGCCCCGGTTGCTCCATCACAACATTGTGTTGACCTGAAAAGGCCACCTGCAAACGGGTACCGACTGGACGGAGCCCAAGGGCAAGTAGAAGTGGTCCCGGGGCACTCGGGATGGATGTGCCGCCCGGGACAGCAGGGTGTCCGTGTCTTGATGGGCATGTGGGTTACCATCAGCTTGCACCAGTCAGAACCTCCCGAGGGCTACTCCTCAGAGCCACGCCATTCACTCTGTGTTGATTCTACTCATTTTTTAAGGCTGTGTTTGCCCAGGCATCAGTGCAGGCGTGTCATGTCTGTCACCGTGCATCCCTGTGGAGTGGCAGGCAGGGCACCAGCAGTATTCCCCCTTCTATGCCCGGGACCCAGGGACTAGGGGCACCAGTTTGGATGCCTGGCAGACAGGACGGGAGTGGACGATGGATGAATCACTTGACAGGACAATAAAAGAAGAATTTCTTGTAGAAACTCCCATGTGCAGGCGCACCTGTCTCCTGCCTTTTTTTTTTTTAATTGAAGTATAGTCCAGTTACAGTGTTGTCCTGCGTCCTGGTGTATACCGCAGTGATACAGTTACACGTGTATGTATGTGTTCCCTTTCATGTTCTTTTTCATTGAAGGCTATTACAATTAATTGAAACAGACTCGCAGGCATAGAAAACAAACTTACGGTTAAGGAAAGGGAGGGGTGGATAAATTGGGAGTTCGGTGTTTGCAGATACACGCTGCTATATGTAAAGCAGACCAACAGGGTCCTACGGTGCGGCACAGGGAACCGTAGTCAGTGCCTTGTAGTGAACACACCGCTGCTTTTTTAATCGTTGGCTGAAGGAGGCTCCCGCTGCGTGCCAGCTTGCCCCAGATCGTGGAAGACCGCTGAACCCTGCGCTTGGTGTCGCCATGGGTGGAGCGGGCGGCTTGCCCTTTCCTCTCAGTGATGAGTTGTAACTGCCTGTCCCTCGGCCTTTCCCACAGGATGTCGGCTACCCGGAATTCCTGAACATCCGTCCGTACATGTCCCAGAGTAATGGCGAGCCTGTCACGTACGGGCTGTACGCTGTCCTGGTCCACTCGGGCTACAGCTGCCACGCCGGGCACTACTACTGCTACGTGAAGGTCAGCGGCTGCACGCCCACTCCGGCCGCGGGGGCGCTGGTGGCGTGCCTGCTCCTCCTGGAGCAAGTCTGCGGTGCCCGTTGGTGCCGGTGCGCGCGTGGCCGGGGCAGAGTGTTCATTCCGTGGAAAGCAGCGTGATGTGTAGCTGTGCTCAGGTCCCACAGTTGCTTCTCCGTGGAGCACAGAGACACCTTTAGAACCTGTCTGTCCAGGGCTGTGTGCCCTTGGGCTTGGGACAAGATGCTGGAGGGAGGCTGCTCGCAGTGCCCGGCCCTTAGAACCCTGGAGAAGTCTTGGGAAGGCTGTGCCTATCAGATCTGCCAAAATAGCCTTCAGAAGGGAAAGCTCGCATCTTTGTAGGGGAAGGGGGCTCCAGCACGCTTGGGGTCACGTTTGAGTTAGACCAACACTAGACATTTTAATATGAAATTGTTACTAGTTAATCAGCACTCGGCTCTATGTTGCCACAAGGAAAAAGAATTTGAAAATAAGGATTATGGAATTGTTGATTGTTCTGTTCTGTTTCCTCCCACGCCCTGTGCTGCTTCAGGCAAGCAACGGACAGTGGTACCAGATGAACGACTCCTTGGTCCATTCCAGCAACATCAAGGTGGTTCTGAACCAGCAGGCCTACGTGCTCTTCTATCTGCGGTAACTGAGCCCCAGCCTCCCCGACGGGCACCCCCTCTCCTCCCTGGCCCTTTTCTGGGAGAAAGTAATTGGGGATCCACAGGAGGGGGACTGAGTGGTTCACGGCCAGTCCCGTGTTGAGAGAGCGGCCCTGGGAAGGGCACTTTCAGACGCCGTCTGCCTGGTACTGAGTCAAAGCCAGAGCCTCGGGGAGGGTCGGAGCAGGAGTCCATCTGCCCCTCCTGGAGGTGACTTTGACCATAAATGGGGCAGTTGGCTGTTACTTTATATCATTGCCCCAAATTAGATGCGTTCCATCTGGATATTAGTGGCCAGCTTGGCTTCCTCTGGGAGTGAAGTAGGTTGTCGGGCAGGAGGCCTTGAGGGGGTTTGGGAGGCTGGTCACCAGCCTGGAGGATGAGAACACGGAGACAGAGGTCTTCGTACACGTTCTGCTGAGTTAAGCGTTCGCAGGGTCCCTCTGGCTCTCTGATCAATGGGGAGTCTGAGCTTGGAGGAGCGCTGTCGTGACCTGCTCTCTGCTTTCGTGGGCAGAATGCGAGGCTGCGGAGCAAGTTCCCGTGGTTTAAGGGCGGAGTGAGGTTTCCGAGCAGCTCTCCGGGACTGTCAGGGGTCTCTCTGGCTGTCCCGCCTTTGTCTGCCCTTTGTTTTTTCCCCACCACTGGAACTGTAACCTTGACGTCACTGTTCTGATGCCTTCTCACACTCAGTTGCACTCAGGCCTCTGCAGCTTTAGCAGGACAGCCCCTGACGGTTCTGTTCCTTCGACAGGCTCCCAGGCTCCAAGAAGAGGCCTGAGGGCTCCATCTCCAGGACAGCCTGCTCCGTCCCCGGTCGCCCCGGTGTGGTTCCAGACCACGTCAGGAAGAGCATCGCCAACGGGGCCACGTCCTCCCCACTGGCCGGAAAGGTGCTTGTTTCAGAGGATCCACAGATACGTTGTGGGCCTTCACGCCCCTGCTGCTCTGGGGGTCACTGGGGCCCCAGACCTCTTCTCACTGGGGACTCAGCCCAATAGACAGAGAGTGCAGACAGTTGTCTCCTCCCTCCACGTTCTCTCTGAAGTTGGTCATGAGCTGACATTGATGGGGGGGGGAGGCAATGATGTGAAAACCCGACTCAGCAAACCCAGACGGAGCCCCCATGTGTGCCCGCCTTACGGCAGCTGCCACGCAGGAGGGCGGCGGCCGGTTCCCAGAGCAAACCTTGGACCTTAAGCGTCCGGGAAAAAATATTTCATCCTCACATTTTAACACCAGAAGTGTGAGTCGTTTGAACCAGTTCCCTGATTTCAGTAATTGTGCTGTAGTTATGGTAAGAGAAGTCCTTTGTTTTTGTTTAATTTGGGGGAGGGTAATTAGGTTTTATTTGTTTGTTTGTTTTTAATGGAGGCCCTGGGGATTGAACCCAGGACCTCGTGCGTGCTAAGCACACACTCTACCCCTGAGCTACACCCTCCCGACAGAAATCCTTTTTTTTAGGAATACGTGCGGATGAATTTAAAGGTAAAAGGATGTCACATCTGAAATTTACTTAAATGGGTAGAGAAATGTACTTGTGTGTCTGTGCATGTGCACATGTGTGTGCGGAGGGTGGAAGACGAGAGCGCTAGTGCGGTAGAGCGCTGACAGTTAGGAAGTACTCTTGAAGCGACTTTTAACGTATTGAAAATTTTCTAGTAGGAAAAGTTAAGAACTCAGTTTTATTGACAAAGTAATAGCAATTTCTTTATTACAGCATAACTCAGAATTCAAAAATAGGTCGACCCTCTTTGTCTACTGCATCTGCGACCCTTTTCCTTCAGTCTGAAGGCCAAATCCAAAGGCAGGCTGCCAGAGCCCTTCCCAGTCCGCAGGGGTTTTAGTCCTTTATGCAGATGTGTTTCCCTTCCAACATTCAAGGAAATAGAAGCCGAGATAGCAGTGTCAGAGTTGACGTAGCAGTGGTGATTGTCACTGTGGCCAGACCAGGAAGGCCCGAGGACCAGGCGGGGCGTGGGGGTGCCTGAGTGTGTGCAGGGGCACAGGGAAGACCCTGGGTCGGGCCACCACAAGGCCGCTTCCCTGACCCTGTGTGTTTCCTTTACAAAGATAACTTTCCAAACACACTGCAGCTGCACAGGAGTCATTTTACTTTCAATACCACTGTAAATTCCGTGTACTGCAGTGCCGTGGGAAGACGTGTTCTCTTTAGAGAGAATGTTATAAAGACTTACCCAAATGACTTAAAATCACTCTTGCACATGCAAAGGATGTGGATGTTGAAACGATTCGAAGTAGTGTGCAGTCGGCACATATTTGGGGGGAAAACACCTGCTGCTGGTGGCAGTGCAGTGGATGCAGTCTGGCGGTGTGCATCCTCATGTAGGAAAGTGTCAGTAGCCTGGTAGTTCTGTTTCTAAAAAATTAGCATGGAATACGAAGTGCAGAAAGAGATTCAGTCTTTTGATTGTTCATTCAACCAGTAGTTGCTAAGCACTGACTCCACTGGACCTTGAGCCAGGTGTGGGGGCCATGACGGTGAACAGCACCCATGCAGGCCTGGAGAAGCTTCTGGGTGGAGTGGGTGGTTCAGACCCCTTTGTAACGAGCTTTGCAGGGAAGGGCCGGGCGCTTAGCACCATGGTGTTCATTTCAGGGACACCTGGAGCCAGTCTATAAATACTTCGCTCAGTGAGATGGTTGCTAGTCAGACATCAGAGACCTAGCTGAGGGTGTGAATGTGTGAAGATGCCTCCGGTGATGGCACGATGGTGAGGCCGGGTCGGACGCCGCTGTGTGGCCAGGCTGCAGGGAAGCCCGCAGGGGGAAGCACCAGCGTGTTCATCGTTGGTTGTGTTTAGGTGGTGGAACTTCATAGATTTTTCTCCTTTATACTTTTTTTGTATTTCTCAAGTCTTGACGTAAGGGTACTGCTTTCATAGCAAAGCTGATTATAAAGAGAGCCACCCCTATATGCACAACTCAAGAGATACTGAAAAGAAGTAACAGTGTCTTTATCACGTGTCCATGGAAATGGTCTGTCTGGGGCTGCTCGTTGGAGCCCCCGCCTGCCACCACCCTGCAGAAGCCCCAGCCCCGCTCCCTCTGGTTCTGACCGTGTCCTCTGCTTCACTCCCTTAGAGACCAGACCCTGTGACGATGAAAAAGCTGCAGACCCCCGAAGAGGTTGGGGTGGCCATTGCCAGGAACGGCTCCGTGTTGGGGCTGAAGTCTCAGAATGGACATGCTCCTCCCAAGCTGCCCTCGGGGTCCCCTTCCCCCAAACTCTCCAAAACACCCACGCACACGCCCACCCTCCTGGAGGAGCCTGGAAAGAAGGTCAAGAAGTCCGCCACCCTGCAGCCCTTCTCCCCATCCCCCAAGACGGCTCAGGGGCTCCACAGGACCGGCGACCCGAGCGGCAGCCGGTGTGCGAGCCGCGGGCAGAGCCCCTGGGACAGCAGGGCTGCCCCCGTCTCTACCTCAGCCCGGGCCCCGGCCGCGGGCCCCGCGGATGGGCCCGAGGCAGGCGGCCAGGGCTCCGCCGCTGACGGCTGGGCTTCTGGCACTTCCAGCCCCGAGTCCTCTGC